CACTGGAAACAGCATGGCAGACCCAGCAGATCAATTAAAAATAAAAAGCACTTACACACTCGGGTTTAATGCTTCAGTAATGAAACGCGCTGCTAAAGAGTAATAATCAATACCAGCGTACAACTGATTAAAAAATCTTGGGTGATCTGTAGATTAAAAAGACATAAATCTGGTTAGCGTAAGTGGTGCAGGAAAACCAATGCGCAAGTCCTCCTCTCAGTTTCAGCTAGAGATGATGATCAGCCCTTGCTGATAAATATCAGAGGGCAGAGGATGTTCGTATCACCTGCTTGAAAAGGGAGGATTTTTTAAGTCCCACAAGTACCTGCAGGAAGAGATACACTGTGTATCCCTTGCAGCTTCTTCTGAACAGATAGAAGCTCTGCGCTGACTGTTAATCCTCCCCCCCCCCCCGGCTCCAGGCTTTTCCCTTTGCCTGAGAGATGGACTGTCAGGGAGGGACAAAGTTAGCGCACAGGACCACTGGACGCTCAATTTGACCCAGGCCTCTTCAAGGCACACCTGCTTATTGATACACCTGTGTCCCCTTAGAATTGGGTCTGATCTATTTGATGAGGTGGAACGCCTCTCCAAATGAAAGAATAACCCCAACTCTACTTCTAACTACAGAAGTAGAGAGATCTCTAAATTGAAACTGGGTGGCATAAAGACAAAAAGATAGTTTCTTGTTTTAGTATTTTTTAGGGGGTGGGGGGTTGTCTCCGTTTCGTCGCTAAGAAGGTAAACCTCTACACACCTAATTGCAGGGGTCCTGGGGAAAAATTGAGCATTTGAAATTTCTATTATCTGCCCTCACTTTCTATATACAATGAGGACAAGTTTACCCAATAGGAATAGTGGATATATAGAGCACATAGGGCTTAAAAAACCTGCATGGAAAATTATGGCGACTTAGTGAAGACCTTCCCCTTTTAACAAACCTTTGAAGGAGTGGTCTTCCCTAGTCTCCATCTGTACTAGAATTGTTTTTACATGTTTTAATTGTTTCATCACTTGAGAGGAAGGGTGGGATATAAATTTTAATATTATATTGTTGTTGCAGTTTTATCACTGATGTTTATGCTCTTCACAGCAAGTGTATTTTTTTCCTAACATAAAGTAAAGGTACCCCTGCCCGTATGGGCCAGTCGTGACCGACTCTAGGGTTACGCGCTCATCTCGCTCAAGAGGCCGGGAGACGGCGCCGTCTGAAGACACTTCCGGGTCACGTGGCCAGCGTGACGAAGCTGCAGCTGGCAAGCCAGCACCAGCGCCGCACAGGAAACGCCTTTTACCTTCCCGGTATAAAGCGGTACCTATTTATCTACTTGCACTTAGGGGTGCTTTCGAACTGCTAGGTGGGCAGGAGCTGGGACTGAACGACGGGAGCTCACCCCGCCGCGGGGATTTGAACCGCCGACCTTACGATCAGCAAGTCCTGGGCACTGAGGTTTTACCCACAGCGCCACCCGCGTCCCTGTTTTCTTAACGTAGGCAGTATATAATTTTTTGCAAATAAATATATTATTACACTGCCCATAATTTAGGGGGGGGGGATTCTCCAAAAGTTTCAGAAAGGTATTTTCTCCCTTTATCTATACTTTTAAACTTATGCTGTCCCCTTTAAGAGACACACAAGAGGCTCTGTTAAAAGACAAATAATTAAAAGCTTATCAGAGTTTGTTATCTTACATGGGAATAGTTCAAGCTGCATAAGCAATAGGTAAACAGCATCAATAATGAAAAAGAGCATATTAAAGCTATCTAGCATTCTGTGATAAAAACAGAATTAGATCCATCATATGGGATGTTAGAACATTAATGCACACTTGGGAATTTTACCTCTGAAGCTTTCGTAAGTATTGATTAGCTACAACCAGTGCTTTTTTCTTCTTCTAGAAAAAATAGGTGCTAGCATTCACCATGAAGTTGTTATAGTAAGTGCCACACTTTTTAACAACAACAAAAAGAGGTGCCGGTTCTGCGTACCCTTAAGTGAGCCCTGAAATAAAGAACTGGCTGGAAGTCCTAGAAGACCTGTTCCCTGAATTGTCGGTCTTTTTCCACCTGGCCTGGGAAGGAGGGGCCTGGACTGACTCCAGCTACAAAATCAATCAGTACTTGATTCTCTTGCTAATTATGCTGTTTTAAATGTGCATTTTATATTCCTTTAGTAATGTTTTCTTTTGAAATGCTTAAGATAATTTTTTTTGTTATCTTTGCTGCACTATATGTGCATTCTGTAGTTGACCTCCTTTGTAATGTATTATCTTTAAGATAATATTTTAGTTTCCATTTAGTTATGTTGCTTTGAATGTATACTTTATATGTGGCTTTCTTCAGTAATGTTTAATTCTGGATAGTTTTATTTGATGTTTTAACGTAGGTTGTAAACCACCTTGAGATTCACCCCCCTCTTAAAAAATATAAAGCGATATAGAAATGAAATTAATAATAATAGCAATAGATTAATATTTACTGTGGGCTCTGTCTGCACATTTATTTTCCTCCCACACCCCTACATAATAAAAGCTTTAGAAGAAGCCGTAATATTCATTTGTTCATAAAGTTAGGTTTAAACTTAATTATACCATGATTTGCATTTTCATTTTACAGGAATGTTGTCCAATATATTCCTTACCAATAAGTCTTGACATCTTGAGGAAAAAATATCCTCAGTCTGTGCTATGATATTATACAATGTGAACCAGGGCCATCATGTACTGATTTTTTCTGCCACAACAGCTGACCGCCAATTGCATAATGGCAGGGAAATTTATTTCATGATGTTCCCAATTCATACAGTAAGTGCAGAATGACATTAAGGCAAGACATAGAAAACTCACCCACAGATGCCAGTTTTCAGGAACTGCCCCAGAGCAACAGTAAAATAAACTCTTACAGACTTAGGTGCCTGGCTTCATAAACCACAGTTTATGGAGTCAAGAACGAATACTTGACCCATGCCCTTCTTCCTGTTTTCCATTTCCACACCAACTTCAGCATTAGGATGTTGCTTTGTTTAAACCAGAAAACTCTGGTTTAATGTTGGTTAACCAACCAGAATATTACGCCGCAGGGGTGAGCATCAGGAAGTGATGGACAAGCGCACAGCCCTGATGCTCAATCACAGCTTCATAAACCATGGCTTATGAAGCTGGTGTCGTACATCCGAAATGGGCCTTATGGGTCTTTTTGGCTTGACATAGCAGAAAATGAAGAATCTGTCAAACTGTCACCTTGTTTGTCAGACAGCAAAAGCAAGAACAGCCTGACGTTCTGAAAACCTATTTCAAAGAGCATCATAGTATTTAATGGAATAAAAACAGTAGATAATAGACATAGGATCCGTACTGGTTTTGACACTGAAACGTATAATATCCTGGCAAAACTGCAGGAGTCTCTGATGGGTCTCTCCGGTGTCTTTCAATTCCAAATCAAGCATCGTTTTCAGCTTTTCAGGAGGGTGCCACTCACACACCTAATTTGGGGAAAATATCGGGTTAGTGGAAAGAAACTTCCTAAGGACACAGCATTCATATATTATCTCCCACTACCGACCCTCAGTTAAATACACAAATGTAAATAAAATAAGTCTTTAAAGAAGAACTGTGCCAATTTTTAATCACATACAGTCATACCTTAGAAGTCCAATGGAATCCGTTACGGAAGTCCTTTCGATTTCCAAAATGTTCGGAAACCAAAGCACGGCTTCTGATTGGCTGCAGGAAGCTCCTGCAGCCAATCAGAAGCCACGGAAGCCCCATCGGACGTTCGGCTTCCAAAAATAGTTCGCAAACCGGAACAGTCACTTCCAGGTTTGCGGTATTCGAGAGTCAAACCATTCGAGAACTAAGCTGTTCGAAAACCAAGGTACGGCCATACTAGGAAAAAACTGGCTTCTCGTTTAGGATACTGGCATGTGAGGGATGAGGAAAGTGACAGTTTATTGTGAATTATGTACTGAAAAGTATTACATTTGAGATGACTACCTTTTCTGTTACATCTGCAGCTTTCTTTATCACTTCCTCCATTATGATCTTGCTGGCCTCTTCCACAAATTTCTCTCCTGCTTTTGCATCTGCCACTGGGCCGTTTAAAATTACGCCATCCACTAAGATTGCGTTCTTCTTTCTCTGCAGTGCTTCCCGTTGGTTATTCATTTTAGCTGTAAATTAGTAAGATAAAATGGGAAAAAACAGTGACAATTGCATCATGCACTGAATTAAACTATATATATAAGACTGTGTGATGGGATAATGAGCTGCTTGTGCGTAAAAGCGTAGTCCCTCAGAGTCTGTGCACGTTCACAAACCTCTGTCTGTGACGGAGCCCCTCAGGCATGGCTGCTCTAGTCACTTGCAGATTCCGACAGTGGTTGTTTTCGGAATCGTTTCCAGCATAAAAGCTCCTTAACGGAAACACGTCTTCTGGACTCACGGCGTGACAGTTTCCGGCGAGGCGTGGGTCTCCCTATGGGAGCTTCAGATACCTCCCCACTGTTCTCGCTGGAAGTGTCTCTGAGCCCTCCCTCCTGCTCGCATTCCCTCAGAGATCCACTCCTCCCCCTGCTGGTTCCTGCTTCAGCTGTTGAGTCTCTCCCAGCCTCCCTGAGCCCATCCACCACCTGTTCCTCCGATGGCAGTTCCCTGACATCCACCTCCCCTCCAGGGCCCCCTTCACCCCCTCCCGTTCCCTCTCCTCTGGGAGGTGAGGAGGTAAAACCCCGAAAAGAATCTTCTTCATCTTCAGACGTCTCGAACATTTCCCTCCATCGGTCGCCGTCCTGGCTCACTGAATCCTCCTCCTCCTCGGAATCTGTGAACCCCTCCAACTCCTCTTCTTCGTCTGTGGTGGCAAAGTATTCCCTCCGGAACCTCACTACAGGCTGAGGCTTGCGTGGGAACCTCTGATGAAAAGTTTCTATTAAAACCTCGTCATTGACATCCTCTGCCCTGACCCAGGTGTTTTCCGACTCCGGTTCCCCTTCCCACATTACCAAATACTCTACTTGATCTCCCTTCCACCTGGAATCGAGGATCTCCACTACATGGTAGCTTTGTTCCCTTTCCTCCATTGCTGGTCCCCGAGTGACCCTCCCTTCTCTGTCCCCCTTATACAGTGACAGCAATGACCTGTGGAAAACTGGGTGCAGCTTCATGTGGTTCGGTAACCGGAGTCTGAAAGCCACTGGGTTGACCTGTTGTGTGATTTCAAATGGGCCCAATCTTTTGGGTCTTAACTTCTTACAACCCCCTTTGAAGGGTAACCCTTGGGTTGACAGCCACACTTGGTCCCCCACCCTAATGGTTTCACCTTCTCTCCTGTGTTTGTCTGCCTGCCTCTTATATTCCTCCTTGGCCCTGTCTAAGTTAAGTTGGAGCTGGCGATGGATCGCTTCCATTTCTTCTACGAACTGTTCGGCAGCTGGAACGCTCCATCTCTCCCCTTCCCCCCCTGGGAAAGCCCTGGGATGGCACCCGTAATTAGCCAAAAAGGGGCTCATCCCCGTGGACACGTTCTCCGCATTGTTGTAGGCAAATTCCGCCAATGCCAACTTCTCCACCCAATCATTCTCTCTGTCATTGACATAACACCTCAAATATTGCTGGAGTATGCCATTGGCTCTTTCCGCCTGCCCATTGGTTTCAGGATGCCGGGCAGTCGAGAAATTAACCTCTACATGCAGTAAGCTCATGAGCTTCCTCCAGAACCTGGAAGTAAATTGTTTCCCTCGGTCAGAAACCACCCTCAAGGGGGCGCCATGCAACCTAAACACATTTTCTACAAACAATTTAGCTGTTTCTTCTGCCGTGACAGCATGTGAGCAGGCTATAAAGTGTGCCATTTTGGTTAACAGGTCTACCACAACCATGATGGCTGTTTTCCCTCTGGACCTTGGCAGATCAGTCATGAAATCTATGGCCACTGCTTCCCATGGTCTTTCTGGTGTGGGCAGCGGTTCTAATAACCCTGCCGGCGCCCGCCTTTCCCCTTTGGCTCGCTGGCATTGGTCACAACTCCTCACATACTCCCGCACGTCTTCCCTGACCTTGGGCCACCAAAATTCCCTGGTCACCAGCCACATGGTTCTGTGTTGCCCAAAATGCCCCGCTGTGGGGCTATCGTGCAGCTGCTTGAGTACCTTCCCCCTCAACTCTCCTTCAGGTATATATAACGCTCCCTTGTAGTACAACGCCCCGTTTCTCTCCTCAAAACCTCCGGGTTTATCTCCCTCCCTCCTGAGTCCCCTGAGTTTGTCCTGGGCGTATTCATCATTCTCCGTTCCCTCTACCAGTTCTCTTTGCCCCACCAATGCCGCCCCACACACCCAGCGGTCCTCTGGAATGACATGTCTCTCTTCGGGTGCTCCCTCCCCCTCCAAATATTCAGGTTTGCGTGAGAGAGCGTCCGCCCTAACGTTCTCTGGGCCTGGCACGTAACGAATCTCAAAGTTAAATTTGGAGAACTCCTGGGCCCACCTCAACTGCCGTTGGTTGAGCACTCGTGCCGTTCTCCAATACTCCAGGTTCTTGTGGTCAGTGCACACTTGCACCTTATGTTGTGCGCCAATTAGCAGGTGCCTCCATCTCCGGAAAGCCTCATGAATAGCAAGAAGCTCTCGGTCATACACCGTGTAGTTCCTCTCAGATTTGTTCAGCTTCCGCGAAAAAAAGGCACACGGTCTCCACTCTGACTCCTCCTCCCCTGGCTGCAGAAGAAGCACCGCCCCTATGGCTCTGTCTGATGCGTCTGTTTCGACCCTCATCTTTTTTTGTAAATCCACATGCAGAAGTTGTTCTTCAGAGGCGAAGGCCCTTTTTAGTTTCTCAAAAGCTCGCCCTGCCTCCTCAGTCCAAACGAATTTCTTCTTACTGCTGAGACAGTCCGTAATGGGCGCCGTCAGGTGGGCAAAGTTGCGGATGAACTTCCAATAAAAGTTCCCAAACCCTAGGAACCTCTGCACATCCTTCTTTGTTCTGGGTGTTTTCCATTCCAGCACTGCCTGGACCTTGCCGGGATCCATAGCCAATCCCTTGTCTGACAGGCGGTACCCCAGGAACTCCACCTCCTGGGTATGAAACTGACACTTCTCCAGTTTCACCCACAGCCGGTTGGCCTGCAGCCTGCTCAACACTTCTCTGACGTCTCTCACATGTTGCTCCTCATTCTCTGAGTACACCAACACGTCATCTAGGAAGGCCACACAATTCTTGTAAAGCAGAGGCCCCAGTACGTGGTTCATAAATGATTGGAAGCACGCCGAGCCTGCTTGTAATCCAAATGGCATAACGAGATATTCAAATGCCCCCAAAGGGGTGAACATGGTGGTTTTCCATTCATCCCCTTTCCTTATACGTATCAGGTTGTACGCCCCCCTTAGGTCCAGCTTTGTAAAAATCTTTCCCTTCCGCACCCTGTTCAAAATGTCATCAATCCTGGGCATGGGGAAAGCCTGGGGCTCTGACACTGCGTTCAGGGCCCTAAAGTCACACACAAGTCTCGGCTTGTCCGTGTTTTTTTATCCACAAAAAACACTGGGCTACCTCCCACCGCTCTTGACTCTCTGATGAAACCTCTCTTCAGGTTTTTGTCAATAAATTCTCTTAGCACCTGTATCTCTCTGTCTGACATGGCATACAACTTGCCTACAGGGAGCTGTGCCCCAGGCAGTAAATTGATTTGACAATCAAAGGGTCTATGCGGTGGTAATTGGTCAGCTTCCCTTTCGCTGAACACGTCGCTGAGATCTGCATATTGTCGTGGTACCTTCACTTTCTCCGTTACTTCCGTCCCTGCTAGGGTGGCTTGGGCTCCTGCTGAACCCTTTCCCTCCTTGCAGTGTTCCAAGCAATGTGCGGAACCAAAGGAAACCACTCTCTGATGCCAGCCCACCAGCGGATCATGTAACGCCAGCCAGCTCATCCCCAAAATAATGGGCGCCCCTCCCAAGGTGGCCACATTAAACGCTATCAGTTCTGTGTGCCTTGCCACCTTCATTATCATTGGGACGGTCTGCAAGCTGACTTCTCCTCCCAACAGTTCCCTGCCATCGATCGTGGTCACCTGCAGGGGATTGCTCAAAGGGATCGTCCGTATCTGGTGTTCAGCTGCAAACTCTTTGCTCATGAAATTGCAGGAGCTGCCTGAGTCCAACAGCGCCTTTGTCTTTAGAGGGTATCCGTTTTGCAACTCTAGTGTCACTTCTATCACTAGGGCAGGTTTAGGAGGTTCTGGCTTGGGCACTTTCACTGCTCCTTGGCCTGGCTGCTGTGCCCCGACGGTGGCAGCCAGGCGTTGGCTTTTACTTGCTCCGGTATTTCCTCCACTCCTCCCTCAACAGCTCCCACCATCCCTTGCCATTCCTTCCTCTGGGGGCATACTCTGGCAAAGTGACCTGGCTGTTGGCAGAGATAGCATTTCCGGGCGCCTTTTCCCTCCTTCCTCCCCCTTTCACTGGGCTTTGAAACTGCGCGCGCGCGCGCTGTTCCGATCTCCATCGGCTCTGCCGGCGGGAAAGCTGGCTCTGGAATGTCTGGAATGCGGAACTCCTTGAAACGTTCCCCCTTCCCTTCCCGCCTCTCCAAGGCTCTCGCCTCCTGGCGCGCTCCTATGGCCAGCGCAGATTTGGTTAGCTGGTCCATAGAATCCGCCCTGGGCCCCCGGGACAGTTCATCTTTCACCGCCGAAGCAAGCCCTTCTTCAAACAGCATTTGAATGGGTTCCGCCGATAAGTCCCACCCCAATCTGTGCACCAGCATGGTGAATTCAGACCAGTACTCACGGACAGATCGGCTTCCCTGCTTGCAAGCCATTAGCTGTCTGCGCACCACTCCCTGCTCAATATCGCTGGAAAACATGAGATCCATTGCACGAAAGAACTTCATTGTGTCCTTTAGAACGTCATTATGCGTTGCCATCAGGGGCCGAACCCAGTCCCGCGCCCCCTTTTCAAGATGCCCAATCACGAAAGCCACTCGCGATTCCTCGTCAGGGAATTCCTCAAACTGCACATTGAGTGCATATTGCATCTCTGTCCTAAAGGCATGGTAGTCCTTGGGGTCCCCCCCAAACTTCTGCACCAATCCTGGTACCTTTCTGGTGAACGGGGTGGTTTTCCCCTTCTTGTCTGCCTCCTGAGCCCTCCTCTCCTCAAGCCTCGCCGTC